AAAGAAAAGGAAGGTATAAGGGGGTTGCGATTCCTTTGTATTTTCACATTTCTCGCATTATCTGAAAGTAAGCGTGAGATTACAAAATGTTTAATTAATCGAAATAGGATCCTGCTTAGGACCATATGTTCCAAGGCAAAAAGTAAGGAGACAAAAAAATAACAAAAAAAAGTATCCTGCTTGGAAATTCTTTCATTCCAAGGCAAAATTAGGGATTTGAGAGAAAATAGCCTACCGTAAAACCCAAAAGGGACGGTCGACGACAAATAATGCCACGGTCGACGACAAATAATGCCAGAAATGTTTGAATACGAAATAAATTATTGCCATGTTATTCATACCGAATTTTGGGTCCAGTCATTGAAATCGAGATTTTATTTCCATACCGATCATTAGCACATTAGATCTGCATTCCTCATCCTATATGCTTCTACTCCTCATGCATACATACAGAACCTACTTTAACTCAGGTCCTTTTCTCTATTAGACAAGATTGATCCATCCCAGGAAATCACTTCGAGCACTTGGCACTGACGCCCTGGTCAACGTTTGGTCAGAGTGTCCCCAATCCCCGAATCTGCTCCTGTTAGTCCTGTGGTTCGTTAAAATTCATTGGATTCGGTTTCTGATTCAGATCTGGTTGAGATGGCCAACACTGTGAATGAGACGGTTTCTCTCCAGCCCAGCTAAGGACCATTACTGAGATAATAAGCTGCTTGGGCCTTTGCCCAAGAGAGGGGCACAGAATCGGGTTCCTCTGCTTCAAGCAATCAGCCTATTGGTTTGAGGAAAAGGGAGATTCCAGAACCCACCTCGGGTAACCAAGCCTCTGCTGGTTAATACCGTTTCCAGTTGCGTTCCAGTTGAGAATGATCTAATTAAGCAGTTTGCAGAGCTGAAAGATAAAGTGGAGAAAATGTTTGTTGCAAAAGAGAAGGACCCAGTCACCAACGTGGCTGAATATGTCTTGCATCCTACAAATTCTGCTTCATTCAAGACTTTCAAGCATACCATATTCGAAGGGGATAACGACCCTAGGTCTCATCTGTCTGAGTTCATTCGTGTTGTGCAGATGAACCGATATAACGAAGAAGATGTCTTACGGGCATTTCCTCAAACACTGCACAAGAGCTACATGAGATGGTATGATGGCTTGAATACGGAGACGTAGCAAGATTGGGTCAAGCTACAGACTGCTTTTCTCAAGCACTTCAAAATAGATGAAAGGGATGAGTTCGGCTTGCGTGATTTGGAGAGCTTAAGGCAGGAAAAGGATGAAAGCTTCTCTGATTATTACAGGAGATGGAGGACAAAGCTGTTCATGGTCCAGACGAGGCCAAAGGACCAAGAGCTAATCAGGATTTTCAGTCGAAGCCTGCTACCTTTCTTCAAGGATAGGATGCTGGCCCAACCTCTCAGGCCCAACCTCTCATTGACTTTTCTCTAGTTCAAAGGGCTGGGCTGAATATCGAAAGCTGTACAAAGATGAAAAGAAGAAGGGCCGAGAGTTTGGTAACTACCGATCCTCCTACACGGATCAAAGTAGAAATGCTGCAAATAATGCTACAAACCAGTCAGGGAGTAGCAACACGGTTGGAGCTGTTAACGAGAAGGTGAGAAGGGAGTTCACCGACTTGGGCAGACCTTTAAGCACGATCATGAGATCCTGCATCAAAGAATGGCGTGCTGTCCAAATTGCCAGTTAATCCAGCTAAGCCTGTTCGGGGTAGGTTTATGGATCGGGACTGTGAGTATCACCAGTGCAAGGGTCATTCTACTGATGACTGCTTCAACCTTAGGCATGATATACAGGATCTAATAGACAGTGGAAAGATAACCAAACCTTCTAAACACAATAAGCCAAGCACAAAGAATAATCCCTTACCACAATACCAGTATAATTATCCACCTCATAAGCCTTCAGCAAGTGGGTCAGTTAACGCAATTGGGAGTGGTTTGCCTTCAGCAAGTGGTGTCAGTTAACGCAATTGGGAGTGGTTTGCCGGAAAGAATTGGTGTTGGCATGAGCCGAATGGAGGAAAGGAGTGTTGCCATGGGAGCATCTGGGATGAATTGCAGCAGTGAGGAGGAAGAAGGAAAGAGAGGCCTGTTGAAAATGTGAAATTGGAAAATTGAAATTGAGAAGAGTATCACAGTTCAGGTGGGAGAAGTACCAGATAATGAGGATGAGTAGATTCAGCTTGCAATTCAGAAAAGTTTGGCTGATTAAGCAGACCAATGGTACTATAGTAGTGATGAGGATGTAAATGAAGTTGGCATCCAAAGCTTGACCCGAAGTGGTCATGTGTATAACCCGGATAGCAATTCCTAGGACAAATGAAAAGGAGTTGTCATCGATGGGACAGTAAAGAAAAACTCAGATAAGGGTGGAGAACGGCCTAAGGAGAAGAAAAAGGAAGAGGAAGAGGGAAAAACACAAAAGAAGGTTGTTGAAGTGGGTGAGAGTAGTCAAAGCAGAACACCAAGCGGCGTAACCGCAAGTTCGGTACTGGGTCAGCTACAGAGGACTAAGGCTGACATCTCACTATGGGATTTACTGATAGCCTGAAAAGAACATAGAGAAGCTTTGTTAGAAGCCATGACATTTGTCAGAGTTCCCGCCAGAATCTAGAGCGTGGATATGATTAATGTGTTGCAGCGCAGGATTGGTGAGATAACCTTCTTTGATTTCGATCTCCCTCTGAAGGTAGGAATCACTTTAAGCCTTTGTACATCCAGGTGGCTATTAAAGGATGAGAAACCCGCAATGTGATGGTAGATAATGGGTCGGCATTGTGTGTATGCCCACTGAAAATGCTGTCCAAATTTAAGATTGAGGAGTCGGAACTCGAGCCGTCTAACATGGTTGTTAAAGCCTATGGGTTGTTAAAAGCCTTATGATAAACACCCATGCGTACTAGGGGAAACTTTCAGGGCAAAGATTAGGGGAACTTTCAGGGCAAAGATTTCGACAGGGACAATAGAAAGTTGGGTAGATATAGTGGTCTTGGACATTTTGGCCAATTATGCTCTGCTGTTGGGAAGACCATGGCTCCATCCTTTGGGTGCAATTCCTTCTACATTGTATAGAAAAGTCAAGGTACCCTGGGGTGCTGATGTGGTAACTGTTAATGCGCAAGAAGATTTGAATGTGGCGGCTATGGAAGGTTTAGAGGCGGTTGTGCCTTTATTTGGTTTTCAGGTGGCTATGATTGATGATGCTGTATTCACTGAAGACAAAAGTGCAGTCAACAGGATGAGCCCTTTTTCTCATAAAATGATGAAAAAGATGCAATGGAAATACGGTAAGGGGCTAGGCCGAGATTTACAGGTTTGAAACCTTTGCATTCATCAATATGGTCAGCAAGGTAGCAAGGTCGACGCGGACTGGGGTACTCAGGGCATAGAAAGAAAGAGAAGTATGAAGTCCAGTCTCCAATAAAAGAGCCGGGACTAAACAAGATCTTCTTTATCCTAGAAGCTTTTGGGAAATTCCAAAGTAGAGGAAAGACATATCCTGGTCTGGAGATCTTCATGATAGATTTTGAGGAGCAGCTAATCAAGTCTCCAGAGCCTTCCTTTGAGCAGTTGGTAGAAGGCACACAGTTCACGGTTGGCATGGTTCAAACAGGCAGTGGCATAGAATGGTCACAGAAGATACCTGAATTTGAAGACGTCCTTGGGATTGGGGACGAAGCTTCAAGGATGGTGCAGAAGCAGAAGTCCAAGGCAAGGATCCTCCAGTCAATACTAGCGGCTGAAGATGCAGAAGAAGCTGAGAGGAAGGTGATGAAGATGCCAGAGCATGAGGGGAAGGAAGAAAAAGCTGCGCCAGAAGCAAAGGATGCTCCAGGTGCTGATGAAGTGGTTCAAGCCATCAAAGACAGTTGTGATGAATGTATTGAGCAAGTTATTAATCCTGTTTTTATTTTTCTGATTATTGTTTTGAGAACGATTTGGATGGATTCCCTTTATTATTTCAATCAATGGAAGTAAATTTTGACTACTTATTTTCTTATTTTCCTGATTGTCACGTTCATGGCATTGATTATACCACGCACATATTTGACATAAATGCATTCCATCATTTTGCATTTAACCTAAGCACCACCTAAGATCCCAAAATAATCGAAATCGGATCAGACTTTAAGCATGAACTTAGCCAAAATAATCGAAATCGGATCAGACTTTAAGCTTGAACTCAGAAAGGATCTCCAACAATGTCTCAAGAGGAATTCAGAAGTCTTTGCTTGGAGTTATACTGATATGCCGAGAATCGACAGATCAATTGCAGAATATTTCATCCCTACTGATCCGAACATTAAGCCAGTAAAGCAAAAAAGGAGATGGGTCAGACCAGAGTGGCAAGACAAGATTAAGGCTAAGGTCCAGAAGCAGCTAGATGCAGGATTCTTGGAGGTAGTGCATTACCCTGAATGGCTAGCAAACATAGTCCCTGTGCTTAAAAAGGATGGGAGACTAAGGGTCTGCGTCGACTACAGGGATTTAAACAAAGCCTCGCCCAAAGATGACTTCCCACTTCCACACATAGATGTTTTGATCGACAGAGCTGCTGGAATGGGATGTTATTCTATTATGGACGGATTCTCTGGGTACAACCAAATTTTGATGGCCTTAGTTGACAAGCATAAGACTACCTTCACTACTGACTTATTTTGGACCTTCTGCTTTATAGGGTGATGCCCATTCGGATTGAAAAATGCGGGGCAAACATTATAGAGGTGATTGGCAGACAACGTTATTTCATGACATGAATCCATAAGGATTGGAGGTGTAATGTGGACGATAGGTGATCTTGACAAAAAGAGGAAGAACACACGGAGGATGTTTGGAAAAGTTCTTCGCACGGGTCAACAGTATAACTTAAGACTCAATCCAAGAAGTGTGTTATTTGGGAGTCACGAAGGGGAAGTTGTTAGGTTTTGTTGGGACCTAACGGGATTGAAGTTGACCCAGACAAAATAAAAGCCATTCAGGATATGGAATCGCCAAGAACAGAACGTCAGGTGAGAAGCTTCTTGGGAAAAATTCAGTATATCAACAGGTTTATCTCTAGGTTATCTATCACTTGTGCTCCAATCTTCAAGTTGCTTAGGAAGAGCCAACCAGTTAGATGGAACGAAGATTGTCAGAAAGCCTTTGACCATATAAAGGAGTACTTAAAGAATCCACCAGTGTTGAGTTCTCCTAGACCGGGAGAACCTCTGATTCTGTACTTATCTATAGAGGATGCAGGAGTTGGAGCTATGTTGGCACAGCCTGGCACAGCCAGATCTGCTTGGAGTAGAAAAGGCCATCTATTACATTAGCCAAGAAATTACTACCTATTGAGGAGAAGTATTTAATTTGGTAGAGGAAAAACGTGTATGGCAGTGGTGTGGTCGATAAAGAAATTGAGGCCTTACTTTGCATTCCTTCAGTGGTCACTTTCGTTTTAAAATTGTCCTACTGAAGGGACGGGCTGTCCAAAGTGGCTAATTCAAGATGTCCAGCTGTAGATGCAGAGTTTTGTCACGAGCAGACGGTCAAAGGTCGGGTTGTGGCAGGAATCCTGGCTGAGAATCCAATTGCAGATAATGAATATGGGAATTTGGAATTCCAGATGAACATTTGTTATTGTGTGGAAACGGGGTTGGAAACTTTACTTTTGATGCGTCAGGCCAACAGGAAATGGAGCTGGAGTGTTATCGCTGACTTAGAAGCACCCAATGGCGAGGTTACAAAACAATTGTTGCAAAGATTGTTGTTATTCCCAGGTCACCAAACAAATATGGCCGAATTGAGCGTTGTTATCATTGCGGAATGGGAGGGCTCTTCTTGCATCAAGTGCTAAGGAAGTCGAGGTGATTAGGGGGATTCACTGTTGGTTACGAACATGCTACGAGAGATAGGAAAGGTTGGAGGAAGAAAGGTTGAAACCCTATGTTGAGTACTTGTTTGAAGAAGCAAGCCACTTTTTGATAGATCACTTTTACTCACATAGGAAGAATTCATACGGAATCCAGATGCTTGGCAAACCTGGCGTTAGCTTGCGCAGGATTTGAAGGTTAAAGTCCCAAAGAAGCCATTTATCATTACCGCAGCAAATATTTCCCATGCTATGAAGAACATTTTGTGAACCAGGTTGATTCAGAGGAAGAACCTTGAAGAACCTTGGTTTACGGATATTCTGCGGTACATGAAAAACGGAACCTTTTCTGATGACGCAACAAAGGAAGACCGTTCAGTTCTAAGAAAAATGCCTTTGAATTATGTCCTGGCCGATGGTGAACTATATAGAAGGGCCTGGGATGGAATGCTGCTAAGATGTGTAGGTAAGAAGGAAGGAGATGAGATTATGAAGAAGATCCATGAAGGCGTCTGTGGCACTCATTTGAGTGGAATGAGTTTGGCTAGAAAGATCATGAGGCAAGGCTACTTTTGGGTGCAGATGGAAGGTGACTGTGTCAATTCATCATTGGTAAAAGCTTGCCAGTATCATGATAATAAAAGCCATTTGCCATGCTATTGAATCCATCCAACAAACTCCTTCTTTGGCCTTTTTTAGATGGGGTAGATATCACAGAAGATCACGCCAGCAGCGTCGACATGGTCATCAATATATTTTTGGTTGCAGTAGACTACTTTTTTCTAAGATGGATTGAAGCTCAATCCTACAAAACTTTGACCGCCAAACAAGTGGCTAGATTCATTGAACGGAATATTTTCTATTGCTAGCGTTCCTCATTCACATAGTCACAGACAATGGTTCTCACTTTCAAGCATACGTCGGCAGTTGTTTATATAGATATAAGGTGAGCAATCTCCATTCTCTCCTTATCCGGCCCTTCAAGCTAATGGTGCAGTGGAAGCCGCCAATAAGGAGATTAGAGAATTCTGTCCAAAATGTGCGAGGAAGTATAGAAGCGGGGGCTGAGAAACTCCCTTTCGCGCTCTGGGGGGGCACTAACTACTTTCAGTTAGTGAATGAGATTCTTCCTTTCGAACTTGTATATGGGATGGACGGCAGGTGTTACCTGTAGAGCTTGAAAAGAAGTCCTCAGGGTTCTTGTGGAAGCTGGTCTGACCGAAGAAGAATGGGTCAAGAAAAGGTATGAGGATTTGGCGCTTTTAGATGGCAGAAGGCGCTTTTAGATGGCAGAAGATTGAACGCCAGATTCCAGGATCAGATGAGAAAGAGAAGGATTGCTCGTTTCTACAATAAACGGGTACATCTAAGAGCTTTAAAGAATGGAGACTTAGTGTTGGTCAAATTGTTAGACCACGAATCCCAGAGTCATCCTGGAGGGAAATTCAGACCCAACTGGCATGGACCATTCAGAATTCAAAAGCTATTGGCCAAGGGTGCCCTGAATTGATCATTATGGAAGGGAACCCTTTTAATCGGATCGTTTAATCAAGACCAGATGAAAAGGTTCTATGTTTGAAATAATGATTTCGATTGAAAAAGAAAAAAAGAAAAAAAAAGGGGATAAAAAGGGCTAGGTTGAAAACTCGAAAGGGCGATCTAGGTAGGAAATAAGCTCGCTAGGTTGAAAACCCGTAACGGGAGGCCTAGGCAAAAGTTAGAGCATAAAAAAAAAAGAAAGAGAGGATTAATGTGTGGTGCTCAGTTTAAATGCGAAATCTATGCCATGCGTTCATGACATGTTTACAACTGGTTGCTCAATGCCATCAATCTGGCTAGAAGGAGAATAGGCGAATGAGTAGTTAGAATGAATGACCATTGTATTAAAATAGTTTTTCTTTACTTCTGTGTAATGTTGTAGTTTAGAATGGAAATTTTTGACCATTGTATTTAAAAAATAGTTTTTTTTCTTTACTTCTTGTTGTAATTGTTTGAAAAGAAAGTAGGATTAATAAAGATTGCTGGGAATTTCAAATTTTCCTTCCTTTTTGTTTCGGGGGTATTTTTTTTTTTTGATTAATGAATACAAGGACCTTCCTCTCTGCTATTTGATCAGAACTTGTCTCATCTATTTTGAAGATTTATCTCTCTCTTT